GAACCAAAGCTCAGGGCTGTGGACTGGTGTGCTGCTGGGGCGAATGGAGCAAGTGTAAGGACCAGGACAGCAATAGTTACAGATCTGACTGTGATCTGTGCTGTTGCTGAACTGAGTCATTGGGTAAATGAATAAGATAAAGAGAAGCTGCTTCTGTGAGAGGGGAAATCAAGCTTTTACAAGGCTCATTAAAAGTTAAATTTAAGGATGAATAAAGGCACTTTGGATATTTGATCAGATATTATTTCTGGATATAACTACTGCAAATAAATCCCCGACCTTTCCTGGTCCAGAGCTCAGCAACGAGTGGAAGAGCTTACTCATCTACTTGGGAGGATTATGCTTGGTCACTTCCATCCGGAAGGCCTGCTCCTGTTTCTTACCTCTGCTATTGCCGAGCGCTGTGGAAAGGTGCAGTCCCGACCTCTTCCTCAGAGGTGGAGTGGTGGGCTCTGCAGGCAGAGGGCACGCGTTTGTAGGTGTCTTCTGCTCAAGTTCAAGCATGCGAGGGACTGAGGGAAAACTGCTGGTTTATGGAGTGGGTTGACACTTAAAGTGTGTGGCAGAGAGCCTGAAATGGTGTTCCGTGTTGGCTGGACAACACCGTACAGGGATACTGAAAGATCAGGGTTAGGGCCAGTACTAAGCCATGGCTAATAAGGCCTCCTGAACCGGGTTTGCCTGTACAAAAGGGTTCCTACACTGAGGTTTCTTGCTTCTCAGGTAGCCTTGTGCTTGTGTTTATCAGTGATCGATGGTACGGTAGGCTGTGCCCCACTGATTGATGGCACATTGATTTTATGGTGCATCCGTGGTTGGAGAGCGGTTGGGAGCGGTGCTGGAGAGCCCTCCAGGTGCCTAGCAAAGGGCCCTGGAGCCTCTGGATATTCGCACATCCTATGGCACAGGCATCCTGCAACTCGTGTGCTTATGTTGGCTCAGCACTTCAGTATGCTTGCCCAGAAAAATAGAATAGAGCTGTTTTACTGTTTCACTGTTTCAGGTTCTTGTGCCATTCATCACACAAGAAACACCACCAGCAGAGAACTCATAAGAAGTGATTAGTAAGGGACTGCACCATGCAAGCCATAGGCAGCCAGTGAGCTGGCAGCTTACCATGCACCAGCAGTGAATCTGTGTTTAAATAAGCGATGTGATCAGGAGGAATGCAAAGGAATAAAGTTGCATGTGCCTTGCTGTGAGGACACTGCCAGCCCTGGGCTCTGATCCCTTCCTGCTGTGCTCTCGATAAAAAGCAGTTTTGTGTCTCTTGCAACACGGCATTC